GGCTGCCGAGCACCGGTCCCTCCGACCACCACCAGCAGGCAAGGTGGGTTAAGTGTCTTGCCCAAGGACACAACGACAGCGACAGACTGAGCGGGGCTCGAACCTGCAACCTTCTGGTTACGGGGCGAGCGCTCAACTCCTGTGCCACCGTCGCCCACATATAGATAGATATGACTTTTGATCGGGACTGTAGCTCTAGATCAAACTGGTAATGATGTCATCGTGAAGCTGCAGGGTTCTGATCCACAACTGAACACAACAGCTGTAGGACAGTTTGAATATTAAGATTAGCCGGGCCTGGTTCTGGTTCTGACAGGTGAAACAGAACCAGTTTAACCATAGGTGGGCTGATGCTTGGGTTCAGTCATCTCGAGACCTGAGATCCTACCTTGTGTCGTCCACGGTAAACATTGGCCGTTGCGCCCTGACCCAGCAGGTCTGAGATCAGCCACAGGTAGTTGGCAGTGCTCTGCATCCTGGTGGCTGCAACTGATCTGGAAACAAAACAGAATCATGCACCTGTCCAGGTGAGTTCAGGCTAAACTTGGAGGTGAATAGAAGAACTTGTGACTTTGGTTCCGAGTACTTAAAGACTGTTTTACGCCGGTTTTGCTCGTTCATATTATATATGAGAAAGGTCCTTTGTCTTTATGTCTACCTGTGTATCTTACCTGTTGTTCTCTGGTGTAAAGCTACCTGAGTGCCTCTCGGCCAGATCCTCGTTGTAAATGAGAACGAGTTCTCAGTCCACTCGTCTGGTTAAATAAAGTTTGGTTCTCCCAACGTGCCGTTACTGGATTAGTCTGGGATTACAGAACCCTCACAAGTAGCGCCTGACATGGATCCGTGGTAAACTGTCCCAACGATCGTTCTTCTAACAAAAGTCCAAACAGAAGAAACAAAAATAGCATCTAAACTTACAGTTTAGAAGTAAACAGGAGTGAGGAGAAGAAAGAGCTGCTCAGAGCAGAGACATGCCGACATAAACAACGATGCCGTCACACGCATCACGTTGTCACATTTTTACGTGACTCAAGGTGGAACAGCTTGTTAGAGGGACAACAACAACCTGCACACATCTTTTCACCTTTTAAGTAACCTACTGACATGGAAGAATGATCTCCATAAGTCAGAAATTTTGACAGTTTTAGATATAATGGCCAGCCCTGGTCTAAAGGCTGTTTACATGTGTATCACGGAATCACATTTTTATTCAAAGCCCATTATGATTCACACCTGTTTCTAGAAGAAACAGACAGGGGCAGCGCAGTGGTGCAGTGGTTAGAGCTGTCGCTTGCAGCGAGAAGGTCCTGGGTTCGATTCCCGGCCTGGGATCTTTCTGCATGGAGTTAGCATGTTCTCCCTGTGCATGCGTGGGTTCTCTCCGGGTACTCCGGCTTCCTCCCACAGTCCAAAATCATGACTGTTAGGTTGATTGGTCTGCCTAAATTGTCCTTCGGGGTGTGTGTGTGTGTGTGTGTGTGTGTGTGTGTGTGTGTGTGTGTGTGTGTGTGTGTGTGTGTGTGTGTGTGTGTGTGTGATTGATTGTCTTGCCCTGCGATGGACTGGCTCTCTGTCCGGGGTGTTGCCCGTTAACCGCTGGAGATGATGTTTATCTGGTCGTGGTCAGAAGCATTGCGATAAGTGTTGAATAACGTCAGACATGTAGCGCTCGTGTACGGCCCGACCGGCAACCAGCACGCCGGTGTCTGTGTCCGTTAACGGGGACGACCTGGTGGACAACAGTCCCCGTGGTGATTCAGCAGGATGACATTTAACGTTCTAGTCGAAACTGGACCGGTGCCTCGTTACGTCACAACGACGGGGACTTCCCGTTTGAGACGTGACACAACAGAAAATGTGGGAGCGCGGCTTCAACAACGCACAGAGTTCTGTTTTTCGGTTAATCGATCCCTGAATAAGCTGGTCGTGTTTCAGTCTCGAGCGAACGGTCTGAGGCGGCAGCGTCCGCGCGAGCGGCACTATGGTGGGTCCCGGGCTCGGTTTCGGTCTACGCGCCCGACAGAGCTCCTTAACCGACAACAGAATTTGGGTTCCGTTTCTGGACACGTTCCCTCGTCAAACTGACCGTGAAAACACTGAAACCGTGTCTTTATCTGAGGAAAAATCACAAAAGGTTATATTGTTTACTTCCGCACCTTCTCTTTATTGTCGAGCTCTCTTCTTCCGCTCCTCTCAGGTCAGGTGACCAGCGGGGCTCCAATCGGTGAGCAGAGACGTGTGGAGGCGGAGCCAGATCCGGAATACCGTAATACTTGGTTCAGCTGAGATCGAGCGTTAGAGTAGTTGAGAATGGAACGTGCGCAGAGTTAGAGTATTTTAGAGCGCACAATTAGGCGTTATTACGGTAAATGAAAAACGAGGTAAAAATCAAGTGTTAGCAGCTGGAAAATGATTAATGTGAATGTGATCCATGGTCCAAAGAAGCTTAAACGGAGCAGAACCATGATGGTTCCAACCATTAAAATGAGCCTAATGAAGAACTCAAACATGCAGATTAGAATCAGAGACTCGTTCTCTTAGGAAAGGACGAGGATGGATAGGATCAGGAACAATTGACAATTTGAAAATTTGGTCGTGTTCGAGAAGAGCCACTTCTGCGCAGATTGGATCACGGTGATCGATGCGCAGTGCATGCCGAATAGATTTGTGTCCAACTTAACGCCGACTTGCTCTGACGTCATGCCTACGTGGGCAACGATAACCTCGTGAGATCAAGGCGGCCGCAGATTTCGGAGCATAGTTGTTCTCCAACTATATAGGCCATAATGGGATTTGTTTCAAAGAGTTTTCTTTGGTCCCGTTTCCTATGAGCACACTAAAACTACAGCTGATAACCATTACTTATTATTAAAGTCATATCTTCATATGCACATGTCTACCATATATGATATCCACAAGCATGTGAGGATGTGTTTCAGTTGCTAACAGGAACCAGAATTTTACATTTATGAATGCTAACGTGATATCTTCAGCCATCGTCAACCACATGTAGGGAAATCTGTCCGACTTATTTTTAAACGCCGGTTTTTAGCCACTCTCCGTGCTCTTTTCCAGGCGAGGCGCTGCTCATCTCGAACAAGGCCAACTTTTTGTGATCCCAGTGGATTATGTGATTCCTGCGGGATTCCCATGAAATGGGAGTCACCGGGAGTGGGCAAGAGTGGGAATTAGGTTAGGTTTCTGTTCAATATGAAACTCGTCTTAAATGCGAGACCGTGAGAAAAAACATCTCAGGTCTAAAGCCAATCTTCATCTGCGTATGTCCCACGTCACGTGATCAGGAAGCAGAACATCCATGTGTTAGGAGATCGTTTTGGGCCGCAGCTGTAAAAAATAAGTGAGGCGCGAACCAAAAAAGTTTCTGCCGATCACAATTCAACAACGGATTATGAAAGAATGGATTAAGCTTGAAACGTGCCGACCTTCCTGATGTAAGAGGAGAGTCTCCACTTTGTTTTGGTGGTTTTGTCGTTGACATCATCCTAGCACGCAACGTTCTGCGACTCTTAAAAAAACTGTGAAAACACTGAAAAACGCTGGCAGTGAATGAGTTAATGGGCCTTCCACTAGCATCGGCTCCATACCGCTCGGATGGCCTCAGCCGGCCCCAGGTGAATGCAGACATTTTCTCCTCCTCAGCAATCAGCATGATGTATGCATGCTGTAAGCCCACTGGGCTGATAAACCCACCAATCGGAGGCTTCCCTAATGGGAGGTGTGAACTGGAGCTGGCCTATCAGTCAGCAGTGGGTGTGTTGGCCCTGGTCAGCCTGAAGCAGACCACCTCGGGAAGAGGGCTGAGAAACAGGCCAGCTGCACCCTGAATAAAGGCAGGCTATGCTAATGTGGACATTATAGATGCTAGTGGGAAAGAGCCATAACTGCGCCCCGGAAGCTTAGGTTACTTCTTATTGTAACATTTGTGCTCAACTCAAACACCAGACAGGAGTAGCTTAACAAACAGCTGACATCCTGCATGTCCAACTTTAAGTTTCAGCCCCGCGTCTCTTAAAGGAACAGGAACATTAGGCGACATCACTCACAAGAACCCCAGAGAACCCTTACAGCACTCATTCATGCGTAATATTTCCCTCGTCTTGGGAACAGGTCGTGGAGAGTGTTCATGTTTTTAAGAGCAGGCTCAAGACTCGCCTTTTTAGCTCAGCTTTTACCTGATATCTGTTTTTAGCTGCATTACCTATTTAATTTTATTATCTCCATTTTAGTGGTATTACACATTCATGGTTTAGTGTTTTACTAGCTCTGTAATCAGTTATTTTACTATCCATGTTGGGTATTATTTATGACTTACTTTAATCATACTAGTGTTGCCTCTGTGGGGCCCTCTGCCTCGGGGTGGTGGTCGACTGTGGCCACCAGGGCGCTCCTAGAGGTGTGCTTAGGCGGTGGTGGGGTTTCCGCCCTCCCTCTGTGGGCGCCCTGGATTGGTGCCTTGGATCAACTACTGCCGAGGCAGATGGCTCACCTGCTGGCGTGTCATTCATTACCTAACCCATCTGAACTCAGCCTCTCTGTGTGTGTGTGTGTGCACGCGCCTGGGAAATGGGTGGTGGGGTGGGGGTGTAACAGACGGGAATATGGGGTCATTTTAATGTCGCGTGCCCGTCCCATTTGCCGGTTCCGTTAGAACTTATGAGACGGTGCATCCATCAGGGTTCGAGTGGGGGTGTCGGCGAGTTTAATCGTACTAGAGCCGGGTTTGGACCCCCTAATTAGAACCGTGTCTTTTATTTTAAAGGTGAAATGACTTGCACGAATAGCAATCCCCAGAGTAGTCCACTTCTTTTAAACTCGTTACCTTTTGGTTAAGATACTAGAGAGAAGTCTGGAGGCAAGCCAAGCCTCTCAGCAATTGTTTGGGTTATCCGGATTAATTGCGCCTCTAACAGCTTATGTGGGAGGTTGGTAACTATAAAATGATTTATGCTAGTTGATCAGGCTATCATAAGTTTATCAATTTATTTATTAATCCAACCACTCCAGCTGTTAGACTTTTTCAACCTGCAATCAGAGCCAAAAATAACCTCTAATATTCTGTTTTTATCGCCCTTAAGACAACTCGTTACTCGCAAGGAGGGGGGAGTTAAAACTTCCCTTATCTTAAGGTTTCTTTATATTATTTTATTATAAACTGTAAAGTAAGTCCTGATAATTCAGAGACCTGTGATCGGCATGCTTACCTCTGTGCAATTTATGGCCAGGGCCCCAAACGTGAAGCTTTAGAGAAAACCTGAAAGAATCAGGATTATGTTTCTTTTTCAAAAAAGTTTATTACAAAATAGAAAATACAAAAATGGGTAAATAAAAAACAACTGCTATCCCCCACGGAGGAATTAGTTCAAAATGATTAAATAAGAGTTAGTTTACACCAGCTCCTGTCTTCTGAGAATCTCCCCAAAAACTCTCGTCTTGGAATCCCCAAAGTCTCTCCCAGCCCGATCTGAGCTGCATCCTTTTATATCATTCCTGAGACTGCTCTAAACAATGTAAGAGTCACAAGTCATTCTCTCCTGACAGTTTAGGTCAAGGGGTCATTTACCAAATACACTTTTTTAGCTCTACATAAGACATTTGGTATCATTTTCACTACATGCAGTATTCACATGAGGGCACAAAAGTTCATGTTGCACTCCTGGAATGGGAGCACAGGCCATAAATCTTCATGTTGGTAGCAAATTGTAGATCTTCCTTCAGCATTCCTGAGAATTTCTGGGTCCAGATGGACTGTCCTTACTCCATGCCAGTCCTTCTTTTCCCGCCAGAGGTGGAGTTAGGGGCGGGCCCATGGGTGGACCCATGGGTGGATCCAGAGAAGCCAGCCTGTCTTTTGACCCTTTGCCTAGTTCTGTCCTTGCCAGCAAGTCCTGAACTATTGTCCTCTTGACCCTTGTGTGACCCTTGTCTCTGACCACTGTTTCTAAGCCTTGACCGGCTGCTGGGACTTGCAACATTAATATGTTAAGCACTTTGAGATGCTGTTTGTTTTGTATTAAAAGTGCTGTACAAATAAAGTTTGATGTAATCTGGTGCTGTATAATAATTTATAATAAAATCTAAATTTTCTGATAAATTCTGTTGGTTTATTTTCTAAGCAGGGGGACTGTCGGATCCTAATTTCCTGAATTTAGCAGAAACCATATTGATGGTTCCTTTAAAACATATTTCAGTTTATTATTGTCACAATAAAATACGTGTATTATGTAAAGGTTAGGGCCTACGTGGCTCAAAAATGTCTTGAGACACTTCTGCCTCTTTGGCAGATGTTTTTGTAAACACTGGTCACAGACTAGCAGCTGATTTGTCACTTTAAGTCACATGACCAGCGCTGAACATCATCTCACAATGTGTTGCAACACCATGCTAGACGTTCTGGAGATGGTTTGGACATGTCCAGAGGAGAGACAGTGAAAAATGACCCGCACTTGTATAGCGTCTCTCATAAGGACTCCAAAGCGCTTTACACTACAGTGCATCACTCATCCATTCACACACTGTTGGTGATGAGCTACGATGTAGCCACAGCCGCCCTGACAGAGGCGAGGCTGGCAGAAAAGTGGACATGAAGTTAGTTGGTGTGAGGGTAGAGGACACATGACAGGACTACATGGAGACAGGCGATTGGCTTTGGAGACACCTGAGCGGACACGCCCAAGGTGAGAGGAAGAAGTTTCATTCCTATTTTATTTCAGGTTTCGGAAACGATCTCGGTCTCTGTTCCCCTGCAGACGACTGTTGGACACATCCGTCTAGCCACAAGACCAGACTCCTCCCAGTGACGTTCCAATGGACCAACACCTAATCAGCGCACCTCTTACTGAATAATGATGCCGTCAGATTCCTGGAGTTGCTGCACCGGACCGACGTTCAGCTTTTATTCTGTAGAAAACTCTGAAAGCTACATTTTCAGCTTTAACGTATTAGAGTTGGACTTTGTTTGTGATGAATTGTTGCTTCCCGTTTCCACGTGTCTGAAGGCCGTTTCCATCAGATCCGTACAGCAGGGGAACTCCATTCCAGGCCGGGATCCTGCACGTTTTCGTTTTATCCTGCCACTGACTCGAGTGTGTGGGGGCACAGAAACCACCAGGTCCTCCAGGACCAGAACGGAGTACCCCCGCCATGGAGGACAGGGGTTCTGTCAGATGTTTAGTGAGGGTTAGGACGATCTGGTGGTTTGACCAAAGCAGGCCTTTTCTTTAAACGGACCCCTCTGTTCTGCTGAATCAACACACAGACAAAGGTTAAAGTTCACTCGGTTTTATATTCAACATAAGGAGATAAATTCAGCATCTGATGAGTTACAACAGCTTATGGAGGCAGCTGGACGGGCTGTACAGTTCAGACGAATCAGAAGAAACAGAAAGGTTTCCCGTCACCCAGCCTGGAGACAAAAGTGCTTTCCATTTAAAACTTTTTACATGTCTACTTTCTAAGCCTCTTCACCCACGTTCAGTCTGCCCAACAGCACCGCCTGCTGGCCTGGAGGGCGCCTGCAGGAGGCTTAGTCTCGTTTCTGATCAGATTCTTACGGACTCGAACAAAACCATCTCTGGTCAAACGGGACCCCGTTCACATTTCAAGTACAACAAACCTCAAAGACTCCATCAGACACGGTCAGAGTTTATTCCCTTGCAACTGAATAATTACTTCAAATAGTTTATTAGTGGCTTTAAAACGCGACGGGTTTCGTCTCTTCCAGCTGAGTTTTCAAACGGAGAGCTGCAACAATCAGCTCCCCTGCGGTTTCAGTCCATTTGTACCAAATCAGACAAGAAAACATCGAGTAAAGTGCAGAAAGGAGAAGACGAGCGCACCAGATGGAGGAACAGAGCCCAACCACAGGTTGGTGAAAGCCCTACAGAGGCCAAACCCAGAATGGTCTAAACTAGGCACTTATGCCCTACAGAGGCCCAGCGGGAACAAAACTGTTGTTGAAGCTGTACGGAAGCCCGGATGGGACAGCGCTGCAGCCGAACGGAGACGTCAGTCCCACAGCGAGGCGCCAAGGCCGTACCGAAGCCTAGTGAGACCAAAACTAGATGCTGAAGGCCTGAGAGGCTCCTTGTGGCTAAGCAACAACTTCATGATGGTTTAAGTTTCAGAAAGTGCTGAAACACCCTGAAGCTGCTGCGCTGGTTAGAGCTGGTTAGAGCGAACCCTGACCCTAACCCTGACCCTGACTCACAGCTCAGGTAAGACGATTCCCTTTCACTCTCGGTGATTTTTAGTTTCACGTTACAAACTTTACCCAAAACACCCAAGAAGCTCTAAATCAGATGTGTTTCGGTTTATCAGGACACATCCGAGCTTCAGCGTCCGTGGCTCAGAGACGGCTTCAACAGGACTCGTACTCCTGACCGAGGTCACGGTCGTCACGTGTTCAACTCACGAGAACAACGATCACTGAGGGCGGAGCCAGAGGCTCAGACGTAAAGAGTTCAGACTGATCCCACTCGTGTCCTCGTCGTCTGCAGGTCCTGAGCTCAGTCACAAACATCTGGATGCTTCTCAGGTCCAGAACCACCTGAAGCTTCGGAGTTCTGGTACTAAAAAAGCCTTGGATTGTCGAGTCATGCTGGTGGGTTTTCTGGAACGGGACTTTCAGGAAGCAAACTGACTTCAAGATTTGTGATAAAGAAGCCGATGACCGACCCGGCGTCCCACCTCGTGTCCTGCCCGGTATCCAGCTCCGCGCGAGTCAAAAACACGTAAAAACCTGGATATGTCTGATCTGAGATTGTCGGCGTTCGTGAGATTCCATAGAAAAATAGAAGAAATATAAAAAAGACGGAATGAAAAGTACCGAGGGTGGGCGAGACATTTACAGGGACTCTCTCTAGCTTATAAATACGTTATCTACAACATGTGGTACAAAAATACTATCGAGCATTTAGTGGGCACTGCAGCTCCTCTGTGGTCTCTTCCTCAGCGGGAACAAAACAAAACAGGAAGTGATGTGACTGCTCAGGCACAAAGTCGTGTTAGCGGGGAGGGGAGAGGCTCCTCCCCCTCCTGAGAACTCCGACACACAAAGCGAACACAAACGTTTTGGTTTAAACCAGAACAGAACCCAGCTGCTGCAGGACGTGGGTCTGCGTATGGAGGCCCGGGAGGGACACGAGCAGCAGATCCAACCTTCTGCTCACATCCATCCCGCCCAGTTCTGAACGCCCCGTGTCATCACCAATCAGAGTGGTTCTGGTTCCGATCGGATGACCAATCAGTCAATATGTGCCTCACAGTGCTACAGAGAGTCAGAACTGGAGCTCCAACACCAGAGTCACTTCCTGCCGAGACGCCGTCCCCGACACCGGAGATGTCCTCCTGAAGACGCCGTCCCCGGAGCGGCCACAGAAACGTCAGTCCCACAGTGATAAACAGCAGCCTGTGGGAGGTCACCTGATGCGGTTGCCACGGTAACGCAGCACTCCCGCAGCTGCTGTTGGTATTTGGCATCAGAGGTTGGTGGTCCATCTGACTGGTTAGTTCCTGTTCTTCCTCCTGCTTTAAGGCAACTTATACTTGTGATGATCTGAATAAAAACTTTAGTTAAAAATGTACAAATATTTCTTATACAAACCTCTGGTGCATCATCAGTAAACACTGTATAGAAAATATATAAATATGTTTTCTCTTTAAATGTACAAAAGTCCTCTGCTTCCCTTTAGTTGGTCGGCTCCTCCGCTGCGTCAGTCTCTTCCTGTTCGTCTACCTCAAATATGAACAATTGGTATTTACAGAGAGGGGCGGAGCTAAGCCAGGGGTTTGGCTCACGAGGAGTCTGTGCAAGGGGAAGGTGGCGGAGGGTACAGGTGGTGGGCGTAACTGCGCTCAGTGTAAGGCGACGGCGGGCAGCTCTCGCAGTTCTCCTCCGCCGACAGATACTGGCTGCGGGGGGTCGGCGGCGGCGGGAACGGCTCAGAGTCATAGTTGAGGTCGCTGGTGTAGCCCTTAGTGGCCGCAGCGGGCTTCAGTGGTGCTCGGCGTCCCGGGGTGTAATCGCTGTCGCACACGTCCGTGCTGCAGGGCGTGGTGGGCGGGGCAAAGTGGCGGTAGGTGTACGGTCGGTAGCTGCAGGAGGAGAAGAACTTGGTGAGAACGTGTTCTGGTTAGGACCGGAGCAGAAGGCCCGCTCTCAGGAGCCTGCCCCGACGACAGCGTGTGTTCTGATGGCTCTGGTTGGTCTGGACCAGAATGGCGCTTACACGTTAGCGTCGGCACGGCCCCAAAAGGTACCGAACGGCACCAGAATTTGGTTTCACACTCAGGTCAGATTTGTGTTTTTGGTGCCGAGGCGACTCTTTCTCACACCTTCTCCCCAGCGGTCAGACTGGGACCGAGGCCGCACTACGGACTGATTAGACTCCGCCCACAAGCCCAGGGATTTCCGCATTCCTGAGAAGTCGCTGGGATTTATATGTGAACACGACACGGGCCGTACCAGCCCAAACTCCCGCCCGACCGTGCCGACGCTGACGTGTAAGCGCCAACAGTTCTGTCACACGAAAGCAGCCGAGTCACGTTTACTCTGGGAGCTGTCAGAAGGTCCAGATCCGTTCTGTTTGTGGATCAGAACCTTTGAGGTCCAGATATTTGTTCTGTCTAATTCCTGGGCAACAGTACCTGTATGACCGGTGTGTGGACGGGCTGTTGGAGGAGTAACCAAACTCCAGGGTGTACTGGGAGCGCACTGTTGCAGGTGAGGGGGGCGGGTTCAGGATCTGGAACACACACAAAGGTCAGGATCCAGGTCCGAGTCCGGATCAAAGTGGACTCGGCTCCGGGTCTCACCGGGGGGAAGTACGTGCCCTTGGTGCTGGACGAGCTGCTGGACGAAGCTCCGGTGACGTGAGCGCGGTCGTACGGCGGGCCACTGCTGCCACCCATGATGCTCAGAGAGCCAATCACAGACTTCCCCCTGGACATACCTGTGGACAGGTAGAGTTGAGTCAGAACCAGTGGTACCAGTGCATGTTTAAGCCCCTTCTATGGTTCTGCTGCACGTCTTACAGGACTTACTATGTTCCTAATGGTGTTTTAAAAGCCTCTGCTAACCTGGCCGTTACTCTGACGAGGCAGGCAGGTGAGGTGAGGTCGTTACGGTTTACCAGGGTGGGCGGTCTGGATGTGTTACTCACACACACACACACACACACACACACTCCGCTACAACACGAACCACCGTAACTACGCAGCAGTTTCAGCCGTTTATCACCTTCATCAAACATCAGGAGTCAGAGGTCTCATGTCCAGACCCGGCTTACAGAGACTCATTCATGTGTTCATCTCCAGCAGGCTGGACTACTGCAATGGTCTCCTAAGCCTCAACAGGAACCAGGAGAACGGAGCACATCACTCCTGTTTTTAGAGCCCTGCACTGGTTACCAGGCAGGTATTCCCGTACCGTAGAGCATCTCACCTGGCAGCGAGCTGGACAGCGAGCTCGGATGTGGAACATATCCCAGAGGCACGGACGACGGCCCGTGAACCACGAAGTCGTTGGTGACCGTCTCTCCGTCGTCCTTCATCTGAGGACAGAGCACGCGCTGACACACAAAGTAGATGGCACCAACCCCAAACAAGGCCATGACCACGCCCACGATGGAGCTGATGGTGTTGTTGGACGGAGGTGGAGGCTCCTCGGTGGGATCTGAAACCGCAGGAGCAGAACAACGTTCATCAGTTAGATTATCTGCGTGTGGGCGTCCCCTACCGTCAGAGGAAACCCGTTAACGGGTGAAACGTTTTACAACACGTGGGTTTTCCTCAACTCTGTAAGCGCCAAAGTTTAACAAGTCCCTGATATACCGTGATCCTCGGGTGGTCACTGCAGAAACGTGAAGCTTCAAACGGATGTTCCTGTTTCAGTCTGAAGCCAGCCAGAGGAGAGCGGGGCAAATGGCCGACTCAAACTCTGAAGAGGAACATTCACCCTCTGATGAAGGTGATGGCTCGTGGCCCATAATCGGTTGCAGCTGACTGCGGTCCACACAGACAACTGTCCTGGGATGAAACCATCCCGTTTCACGCCCAAAACACCAGACCCTCGTGTAGCGACCGTGCTTAGACACGGGTCTGTGCGTAAATCAGGCGTAGGAACTAACGTACACACTGAGTGGTGTTCATCATGTTGTATCTGTGGGTGGAAATGTTCCTAAACACCAGAAAACTTCAGACCGTGTGTAGGAACATCTAGTGGTAGAACGGGACCACTGAAGGTCTCACTCATCCACACATGTTCCGCATCCACTGATGCTTTTTAAACAGCTGGCTGCACTGAAGGGAACATGGCTGAAGTAAAACCGGAGATCAGGCTCGGATCTGCTGATCGGACGCCACTCACAGCAGCCCATCTCGTCGGAGTTGTCGCTGCAGTCCATGTTGTGGTCGCACTTCTTGTGCTTGCCGATGCACTGACCGTTGGTGCAGGTGAACTGATCCGCCGGACACCGAACTGAAAAACAAAAAGATGCCAGAACATTAGGACCAGCTAGGCAACGCACGTCACCTGGTTGCCATGGAGTGGGGCATCACCTCGAGACAAAACCACCAAGTTAAACCTTCAGCATAAAACATACATTTTCTGGGCTCGCCTTTACAAAAAGTGTTTAAATAAAAACACACAGTGGTGGTTTATCCTGTCTGCCAAAGCTGGGAGACATGAGGCTCTGGTTCCCCGGATCTGATGGCTGAACCATCTTAGGAGAAGATGGAATAGCAATTATTCCCATTATAAATCACACCATGAAACATTAACAGCCACAACCCTTTTCCCATTTTCTATCGTCACTGTGCTTGTGAGGAGACTTTTACCCAGAGAGCCGCTGTTAGCGCAGGCTGAGCAGCGCAGGCTGTTAGGGCAGGCTGAGCAGCGCAGGCTGTTAGGGCAGGCTGAGCAGCGCAGGCTGTCAGCGCAGGCTGAGCAGCGCAGGCTGTCAGCGCAGGCTGAGCAGCGCAGGCTGTCAGGGCAGGCTGAGCAGCGCAGGCTGTTAGGGCAGGCTGAGCAGCGCAGGCTGTTAGCGCAGGCTGAGCAGCGCAGGCTGAGCAGCGCAGGCTGAGCAGCGCAGGCTGTTAGCGCAGGCTGTGCAGCCCTTCGTTAGGACCAAAAGGCAAAACCACTAAAAACACGAATGACTAACATAGCTGACAGATCCTGGGTCAGTCAGGAGCGCCACAAGAAAACGCAGCGGATTGCACTGCTCAGTCTAGAAACGATGGCTGTGGGCGGGGCTATAACTGTTACAGAGCCGTGAGCCCCCCCGCTTCACCTTCACACTTGTTCTCGTCAGATCCGTCCTGACAGTTGATCTCCCCGTTGCAACGCAGGCTCAGGTCAATGCACTGCCGACTGTCGCACTGGAACTCCGAATCGGAGCAGACGGGACAGTCTTCCTCGTCGCTCCGGTCGTCACACTCAGGATAACCGTCGCACCTCCAGGTGTTCGGGATGCAGTCCACTTCTCCTGAATTGCAGGCGAAATGTTCAGGCGAGCAGGTGGGCGGTTCTAGACACAAACGCAGACCGTGAGATCAACATCCTTCTTTCTGACGACCTTATAGGCCGGAACACGTTTTACCTCCACAGGTGAGTTCGTCTGGCAGCAGCACCAGGTGAATGGGACACGAGCAGCGGGTTGTCCCGTCTCCCTTCACGATGCAGATGTGGGAGCAGCCGCCATTATCGTTTGTACAGGGGTGTTTACCTGGAGAACAAGTGTGTTAGACAGGTAAGCTGAGACTCAACCTGCCAGCGTAACAAACAGGAAACTGGACTCACGGTACTCCGTCATGTCAAGATCGTGCACGGCGTGAATGTCGCTCAGGTAGGCGACTCGCGCCTGCACCTTAGTGCGGCCCTCCCTCGTCGTTTTATCGATGCGTTCGATCATCTGCTGCTGCTTGTCGATCCAGTACAGGTGGTTCCCGAACACCGTCAGGCCCACAGGCTGCAGGATGTTAGAGTCGGCGATCACAATCCGATTGGCTCCTGCAGCGTTTAACAAAATAAAAGCACCAGGGAGAAAAACAAACAAGGGCGAGAACTTCAGGAACAAAGGCAACAAAACGGGAGAGGAGCTGCGGGTGGGGTGGGGGGAGGGGGGGGACAGGAATGAAGACAATTAAATATCTGTTCTAGTTCTGGATCGGGTCTGAGTTCTGGTTCTGGATCGGGTCTGAGATCTGGTTCTGGATCGGGTCTGAGTTCTGGTTCGGGTCTGTGTTCTGGATCGGGTCTGAGATCTGGTTCTGGATCGGGTCTGAGATCTGGTTCTGGTTCGGGTCTGTGTTCTGGTTCGGGTCTGAGTTCTGGTTCTGGATCGGGTCTGAGTTCTGGTTCTGGATCGGGTCTGAGATCAGGTTCTGGATCGGGTCTGAGATCTGGTTCTGGATCGGGTCTGAGTTCTGGTTCTGGATCGGGTTCTGGATCGGGTCAGAGATCGGGTTCTGTATCGGGTTCTGGATCGGGTCAGAGATCGGGTCCTGTATAGGGTCAGAGATCGGGTCCGAGTTCTGGTTCTGGATCGGGTCTGAGTTCTGGTTCTGGATCGGGTCTGAGATCGGGTTCTGGATCGGGTCTGAGATCGGGTCAGAGATCGGGTTCTGGATCGGGTCTGTGTTCTGGTTCGGGTCTGTGTTCTGGTTCGGGTCTGAGTTCTGGTTCTGGATCGGGTCTGAGTTCTGGTTCTGGATCGGGTCTGAGATCTGGTTCTGGATCGGGTCTGAGTTCTGGTTCGGGTCTGTGTTCTGGATCGGGTCTGAGATCTGGTTCTGGTTCGGGTCTGTGTTCTGGTTCGGGTCTGTGTTCTGGTTCGGGTCTGAGTTCTGGTTCTGGATCGGGTCTGAGTTCTGGTTCTGGATCAGGTCTGAGATCAGGTTCTGGATCGGGTCTGAGATCTGGTTCTGGATCGGGTCTGAGTTCTGGTTCTGGATCGGGTTCTGGATCGGGTCAGAGTTCGGGTTCTGTATCGGGTCAGAGATCGGGTTCTGGATCGGGTCAGAGATCGGGTCCTGTAAAGGGTCAGAGATCGGGTCCGAGTTCTGGTTCTGGATCGGGTCTGAGATCGGGTTCTGGATCGGGTCTGAGATCGGGTTCTGGATCGGGTCAGAGATCGGGTTCTGGATCGGGTCAGAGATCGGGTTCTGGATCGGGTCAGAGATCGGGTTCTGGATCGAGTCAGAGATCGGGTTCTGGATCGGGTCTGGATCGGGTTCTGGATCGGGTCTGGATCGGGTTATGGATCGGGTCTGGATCGGGTCAGAGATCGGGTCTGGATCGGGTCAGAGATCGGGTTCTGTATCGGGTTCTGTATCGGGTCAGAGTTCTGGTTCTGCAGCGGGTCAGAGTTCTGGTTCTGCATCGGGTCAGAGATAGGGTTCTGCATCGGGTCAGAGATAGGGTTCTGCATCGGGTCAGAGATAGGGTTCTGCATCGGGTCAGAGATAGGGTTCTGCATCGGGTCAGAGATAGGGTTCTGCATCGGGTCAGAGATAGGGTTCTGCATCGGGTCAGAGATAGGGTTCTGCATCGGGTCAGAGATCGGGTTCTACATCGGGTCAGAGATGGGGTTCTGGATCGGGTCAGAGATCGGGTCCGAGTTCTGGATCGGGTCAGAGTTCTGGTTCTGGATCGGGTCCGAGTTCTGGTTCTGGATCGGGTCCGAGTTCTGGTTCTGGATGGGGTCAGAGATGGGGTTCTGGATCGGGATCTGGATCGGGTCAGAGATCGGGTTCTGGATCGGGTTCTGTATCAGGTCAGAGATCGGGTCAGAGATGGGGTTCTGCATCGGGTCAGAGATGGGGTTCTGCATCGGGTCAGAGATGGGGTTCTGCATCGGGTCAGAGATGGGGTTCTGCATCGGGTCAGAGATGGGGTTCTGCATCGGGTCAGAGATGGGGTTCTGTATCGGGTCAGAGATCGGGTTCTGTATCGGGTCAGAGATCGGGTTCTGTATCGGGTCAGAGATCGGGTTCTGTATCGGGTCAGAGATCGGGTTCTGTATCGGGTCAGAGATAGGGTTCTGCATCGGGTCAGAGATGGGGTTCTGCATCGGGTCAGAGATGGGGTTCTGCATCGGGTCAGAGATGGGGTTCTGGATCGGGTCCGAGTTCTGGTTCTGGATCAGGTTCTGGATCGGGTCAGAGATCGGGTTCTGGATCGGGTCAGAGATCGGGTTCTGGATCGGGTCATAGATCGGGTTCTGGATCGGGTCAGACATCGGGTTCTGGATCGGGTCAGAGATGGGGTTCTGGATCGGGTCAGAGATCGGATCCGAGTTCTGGTTCTGGATCGGGTCCGAGTTCTGGTTCTGGATCGGGTCCGAGATCGGGTTCTGGATCGGGTCAGAGATCGGGTTCTGGATCGGGATATGGATCGGGTCAGAGATCGGGTTCTGTATCGGGTCAGAGATCGGGTCAGAGATGGGATTCTGCATTGGGTCAGAGATGGGGTTCTGCATCGGGTCAGAGATGGGGTTCTGCATCGGGTCAGAGATGGGGTTCTGCATCGGGTCAGAGATGGGGTTCTGGATCGGGTCAGAGATGGGGTTCTGGATCGGGTCAGAGATGGGGTTCTGGATCGGGTCCGAGTTCTGGTTCTGGATCGGGTTCTGGATCGGGTCAGAGATCGGGTTCTGGATCGGGTCAGAGATCGGGTCCGAGTTCTGGTTCTGCATCGGGTCCGAGTTCTGGTTCTGCATCGGGTCAGAGATGGGGTTCTGCATCGGGTCAGAGATGGGGTTCTGCATCGGGTCAGAGATGGGGTTCTGGATCGGGTCAGAGATGGGGTTCTGGATCGGGTCCGAGTTCTGGTTCTGGATCGGGTCAGAGATTGGGTTCTGGAACGGGTCATAGATCGGGTTCTGGATCGGGTCATAGATCGGGTTCTGGATCGGGTCAGAGATGGGGTTCTGGATCGGGTCAGAGATGGGGTTCTGGATCGGGTCAGGGATCGGGTCCGAGTTCTGGTTCTGCATCGGGTCAGAGTTCTGGTTCTGCATCGGGTCCGAGTTCTGGTTCTGCATCGGGTCCGAGTTCTGGTTCTGCATCGGGTCAGAGATCGGGTTCTGCATCGGGTCAGAGATCGGGTTCTGGATCGGGTCAGAGATCGGGTTCTGGATCGGGTCAGAGATGGGGTTCTGGATCGGGTCAGAGATCGGGTCAGAGATGGGGTTCTGCATCGGGTCAGAGATGGGGTTCTGGATCGGGTCAGAGATGGGGTTCTGGATCGGGTCCGAGTTTTGGTTCTGGATCGGGTTCTGGATCGGGTTCTGGATCGGGTCAGAGATCGGGTTCTGGATCGGGTCAGAGATCGGGTCCGAGTTCTGGTTCTGCATCGGGTCCGAGTTCTGGTTCTGCATCGGGTCCGAGTTCTGGTTCTGCATCGGGTCAGAGATCGGGTTCTGCATCGGGTCAGAGATGGGGTTCTGGATCGGGTCAGAGATGGGGTTCTGGATCGGGTCAGAGATGGGGTTCTGGATCGGGTCAGAGATGGGGTTCTGGATCGGGTCAGAGATGGGGTTCTGGATCGGGTCAGAGATGGGGTTCTGGATCGGGTCAGAGATGGGGTTCTGGATCGGGTCAGAGATGGGGTTCTGGATCGGGTCATAGATCGGGTTCTGGATCGGGTCATAGATGGGGTTCTGGATCGGGTCATAGATGGGGTTCTGGATCGGGTCAGAGATGGGGTTCTGGATCGGGTCAGAGATCGGGTCCGAGTTCTGGTTCTGCATCGGGTCAGAGTTCTGGTTCTGCATCGGGTCCGAGTTCTGGTTCTGCATCGGGTCCGAGTTCTGGTTCTGCATCGGGTCAGAGATCGGGTTCTGCATCGGGTCAGAGATCGGGTTCTGGATCGGGTCAGAGATTGGGTTCTGGATCGGGTCAGAGATGGGGTTCTGGATCGGGTCAGAGATCGGGTCAGAGATGGGGTTCTGCATCGGGTCAGAGATGGGGTTCTGGATCGGGTCAGAGATGGGGTTCTGGATCAGGTCTGAGATGGGGTTCTGGATCGGGTCAGAGATGGGGTTCTGGATCGGGTCAGAGATAGGGTTCTGGATCGGGTCAGAGATGGGGTTCTGGATCGGGTCAGAGATCGGGTTCTGGATCGGGTCAGAGATGGGGTTCTGGATCGGGTCAGAGATCGGGTCAGAGATGGGGTTCTGCATCGGGTCAGAGATGGGGTTCTGGATCGGGTTCTGGATCGGGTCAGAGATCGGGTTCTGGATCGGGTCAGAGATCGGGTCCGAGTTCTGGTTCTGCATCGGGTCCGAGTTCTGGTTCTGCATCGGGTCCGAGTTCTGGTTCTGCATCGGGTCAGAGATGGGGTTCTGGATCGGGTCAGAGATGGGGTTCTGGATCGGGTCAGAGATGGGGTTCTGGATCGGGTCAGAGATGGGGTTCTGGGTCGGGTCAGAGATGGGGTTCTGGATCGGGTCAGAGATGGGGTTCTGGATCGGGTCAGAGATGGGGTTCTGGATCGGGTCAGAGATGGGGTTCTGGATCGGGTCAGAGATGGGGTTCTGGATCGGGTCAGAGATGGGGTTCTGGATCGGGTCAGAGATGGGGTTCTGGATCGGGTCTGAGATGGGGTTCTGGATCGGGTCTGAGATGGGGTTCTGGATCGGGTCTGAGATGGGGTTCTAGATCGGGTCTGAGATGGGGTTCTGGATCGGGTCAGAGATGGGGTTCTGGATCGGGTCAGAGATGGGGTTCTGGATCGGGTCAGAGATGGGGTTCTGGATCGGGTCAGAGATGGGGTTCTGGATCGGGTCAGAGATGGGGTTCTGGATCGGGTCAGAGATAGGGTTCTGGATCGGGTCAGAGATAGGGTTCTGGATCGGGTCAGAGATAGGGTTCTGGATCGGGTCAGAGATAGGGTTCTGGATCGGGTCAGAGATCGGGTTCTGGATCGGGTCAGCCGGGGCAGTACTCTGGCACGTGCAGCACACACGCGTTACTGGGTAAGAGTAACGTTCAAGTACTTCTGATGGACCTGGAATAGTAAATGTGATGTGTTTGCTTTACTTATCTAGTATTGATAATCCTACATTTCACCACGGAGGGCGTGCGTTTCCAGGTTAAACCCAAAACCAGCCTGTTGTGTAGGTCCACCAATACCGCCCTCCCTGAGCCCCGACGCCAAGTTCCCACTAAGGAACTGGGCTTGAACCAGTAAAACCAGACTAAACGGGCAAGAAAACCTTCAGTCACCACTTTCACCCTCCACTCAATACTCCGTAGACGTCCACTATGATGGACCCATGTGATCAGTGAGACAGGTGCACACAGTCAGAAGCAGAACCCTAAAGGTTCTGGTTCTAATCGATCAGTACCAGAACTCAGAGGTGGGTAGGCTTCAGCCACCCGCTCTACAGAGATGGGAGCATATTTCTGACTTTGTAGCAGGACGAGCATTTCCACTAAGTTCAGCATGAAGGCGTTTAGACTCACCAGACAGGTCGCTGCTCTCGATGCGCCGCAGGTCCGAGTCCACCCAGAACAGCTTTCCCAACGCGTTGTCAATGGCCAGAGCCACAGGTTTTCCCAGGCCGCTGAAGAACAAGACCTCCCGCTCCGTGCCGTCCAAAGCTGCCCGCTCGATCTTAGGAGAACGCTCCTGCAGGTTGGTGAAGTACATGTACCTGCAGAGAGCACAGGAAGTCCCTTCACCGATCCAGCCGTCAGAACCACCACACATCTCATCCTTCCAGCTGGGATTTTAAATCATTCACTGTTTAGGAGTGGGCGTTGCGCCTCGTGAAGGCTAACCCTAAATGCTGATGTGCTTTTACCGTTTAACTACCGTATGTTCTGGACTAGAAGTCGCACCAGCCATAAAAAGTATAATCAAGAAGAAAAAAACATAAAAGTCGCATTTTGGGGGGAAATGTTATTTTTCTTACAAAATCTGAGACCGAGCGTTTCACATTGCAGGACAAGTACTGGTAACAATAACAGAATAAACAACCAGGGCGCAGCAGCGCGCCACGGTCTCCAGCAGAGGATGGCGGTGTTTGAAACCCTCCCAGCGGGACAGGGGGGCTTATTCCTGGGCCGGAGCTGCCTGGCCCGCAGCAGCGCGGTATACATAATTTGGTATACAAGTAGAGCTGCTCGATTATAGCAAAAATAATAATCACGATTATTGTGACTGAAATTGAGATCTCGATTATTTTAGACGATTTTTCAATTTATGTTGATTTTATTTGTTTTTATTCAGTCATAAAATTGCTCAGGACACAATCAGGACAAAAATAAATAAGAAACAAGATGATCACTAAAATAACTCCTGATTCCCAGTATAAAAAGACCAATATACTTACAGCTCATAGCCTATGACCCAAGGGCTATAGACCTTGGTTTAACTCATTTAAAGAGCGGGTCAAGTGAGCCTCGGAGTCCTTCTCCACCCACGTATCAATTTTAAAAACGGCAACATTAGTAGGCGTTGCCTGGAGGACCGAGAGGGCGGAGCCTCGGCAGTGACGAAGACGATGGCTAACTAGACGAAGCTAGCTCCCTTCACTCTGAGCAGTTATTAGAAGTGGAGGACGTTTCTCCCCCTCCTTACCCAGACACTCGAGAAGAAAGGGACCAAGTTTATTTGGAGGAGACAAGCGGACCCGAGCCTTATTGTTTTGAGCTTGTGAGTTGCCTGAAACTAGCGGAACCGACCCAACAGAACCACCTCTGAATGGTAGGTACCCGTTAGCCATAGCATTGGATTAGCTGCAGGGTTTGACTCCACGGCCCTAAAAAGCTAGTATTCAGCATGTTTTAGAGGAGTTCTACTGACCCGCGCTCTGGGTTCACCATGATGGCTCTGGGTTTGTCGTGCTCGCCCCGCAGGACCACGCCCACCCGGCTGCCATCTGTCCGGGTCACGTTGATGACGTTGGTCACCTCGCTGGTCCAGTAGATGAAGCGACTGTAGATGTCGATGCTTAGGTCATACAGCTGAAGACCTGGACTGGGTCCCACCACAGAGCTCAGTACCACCGTCATACTCTACAAACAACCAGAACAACCACATGAGCCAAGTGGACCACAAGCTGGACCTCCAGATCCACCTGAAACCAAGGAGAAGGTGGGGACATGTACACACATTCATGGGAAACAAGCAGTTTCAGGGTTACACATCCTGTTCTGCTCCCCGTCTGATCTGATGTGAACGGGCCCGATCATCAGAACCCGCCCAGCATCAGAGACGAGAAGACTGGAGCTCATTAGGAGCCACAGCTCTTCTGCTGAACACGTCTGTGTTTAAACGTTAAACTGAGGAAAGAGAAGTTCTTCAGCCTGAAGGTCCACGAGCAACTCGACCTCCAGCTAAAGCAAGACACCAGAACCTGAAACCAGTACCTGGTTCCCATCCTCCTGCGTGCGGCGAATGACATTCTGTTTGGAGTCGATCCAGTACAGCTGCTTGTCCAGCGGGTCGTAGTCGATGGCCCGGACGTTCTTCAGGTTGTGGATAGGAAGGATGATGTCAGGGCTCTGCTGCTCGTCGATCACCATCCGGTTGATGGAGTTTTTCTGACTGAAGAGCAGGAATGACGTGGGAGCTAGAGGAGAACAAGGTCACGTCAACATGCACTCAGCACAGGAAACCACCAGGTCCTCCAGAACCTCTTCTCTTACCGCGGCACGTCTTGTTGTCGTAGTTGAGGGAGAAGTGGGCGGGGCATCCGCAGACATAGTTGCTGACTGGGACAGCAAGGCACAGATGGGAGCAGTGTCCGTTGGTGGAAGCACAGGCGTTCCAGCCGCCCTGTCGGGACGAGTGGAAGACCAGGATGTCCATGACGTAATCCAGGTGGCCCTGGATCAGGGTGCGGTTCTGGCCACTCGTCTTATTGGCTCGCTCGATGCTGCGCTGGCTCCAGTCTGTCCAGTAAATATAGTCCTGGAACTGGGTCAGTCCAAACGGGTGAGGAAGGTCATCCGCGATCACCTCTCTGTCCAGACCTGGAGGAGTAGGAAGACCGAGAACGTGAGGGAGAAGAGACGACACCAAAAACAAGTTCTAAATCAGGTCTGAATCTGGGGATGCTTCTGTACTTCCATCTTTTCCTTCATTTATCGCCCAACAAACACGTCTCCATCAGGAAACAAAAGTCAGGATTTTATGAATTTATTTAAAACTTGTTGTGTTGCTCATTTTGCAAATCCGTGTCCTCAGGGTGTGGCTGTATTTAACGATGCACATTTCTGCGACAAGCCAGGCTTTCTGTGCACAACACCTGCAGAGAGGTGTGTGTACAGGCGCGGCGTGGGTAGAGCGGTGATGGCGTGTGTAGAGCGGTGGCGGCGTGGGTAGAGCGGTGGCAGCGTGGGTAGAGGGTGATGGCGTGGGTAGAGCGGTGGCGGCGTGGGTAGAGCGGTGGCGGCGTGGGTAGAGCGGTGGTGGCGTGTGTAGAGCGGTGGTGGCGTGTGTAGAGCGGTGGCGGCGTGGGTAGAGCGGTGGCGGCGTGGGTAGAGCGGTGATGGCGTGGGTAGAGCGGTGGCGGCGTGGGTAGAGCGGTGGCGGCGTGGGTAGAGCGGTGGCGGCGTGTGTAGAGCGGTGGCGGCGTGTGTAGAGCGGTGACGGCGTGTGTAGAGCGGTGGCGGCGTGTGTAGAGCGGTGATGGCGTGTGTAGAGCGGTGATGGCGTGTGTAGAGCGGTGGCGGCGTGTGTAGAGCGGTGGCGGCGTGTGTAGAGCGGTGGCGGCGTGTGTAGAGCGGTGATGGCGTGTGTAGAGCGGTGATGGCGTGTGTAGAGCGGTGATGGCGTGTGTAGAGCGTTGATGGCATGTGTAGAGCGGTGATGGCGTGTGTAGAGCGGTGATGGCATGTGTTGGCGTGTGTAGAGCGATGGCGGCGTGTGTAGAGCGGTGACGGCGTGTGTAGAGCGGTGGCGGCGTGTGTAGAGCGGTGGCGGCGTGTGTAGAGCGGTGATGGCGTGTGTAGAGCGGTGATGGCGTGTGTAGAGCGGTGATGGCGTGTGTAGAGCGGTGATGGCGTGTGTAGAGCGGTGGCGGCGTGTGTAGAGCGGTGGGGGCGTGTGTAGAGCGGTGATGGCGTGTGTAGAGCGGTGGCGGCGTGTGTAGAGCGGTGGGGGCGTGTGTAGAGCGGTGGCGGCGTGTACAGGCGCGGCGTGTGTAGAGCGGTGATGGCGTGTGTAGAGCGGTGGCGGCGTGTGTAGAGCGGTGGCGGCGTGTGTAGAGCGGTGGGGGCGTGTACAGGCGCGGCGTGTGTAGGGATTCTATGAGCCAGTTACTTGTTTTCTGATCCCGTCTGATGTCCATGAATGTTAAAAACACATTTAGATTCAGGAAGTGCTGATTTTAGACGGTTAACACATTTTAGGAAGTGCTGGTTTTAGACGGTTAACACATTTTAGGAAGTGCTGGTTTTAGACGGTTAACACATTTTAGGAAGTGCTGGTTTTAGACGGGTGACACATTTTAGGAAGTGCTGGTTTTAGACGGTTAACACATTTTAGGAAGTGCTGGTTTTAGACGGGTGACAAAAGTTACTTTAGGTTTTGTGTGAAAATGCAGCGTTTAGCGAGCATCACATCCTTCTTCCAGAACAGAAGGAGAACTCAACGTGGAGAAAGCCACCGTGATCCTGGTCATGTGGTAAGTAGCAGCTACGCTGGGGCAGAGGAGGTGTGGCCGTGACGTCATACATGCTTCGCCTGATTTGTAGTCTTTAAGCACCAACTTTTACAAGCTCATCAAGCTCAGATTCTGCAACAAACACGGTCAAAACTCACACAGTCATGCATCATTTAAACTCACGTACAACATGTGTGTGATTCAGGGCGTGGAGGAAAGCGGACCAGAAAACAACTTTTACTGCCTCGTTCACTGACCCACGAGTCGACATGAAGGGGGAGGAGCCTTATGCTCCCTATGGCGTCTGAATTCCTGCCTGCTGTAAACTGTGTGACGTTACGGTTTCGTCGCCCAAAAGAAAATGGCGACATGTTGATGTAGTAACATAAAATTAAAACTAAGCCAGTGTCGTTATGTTTTCAGGCCCAATTCAAAGTCCCATCAGTTGTCACACACACACACTGATGTTTGTGTGATTGTTCTCATTTGACCCGTCCCCTGGGGGAGCGGTGAGCTGCAGACACGGCCGCGCTCGGGAACCATTTGGTGGTTTAACCCCCCAATCCAACAGGGAGGCGCTGGGTCCCATTGTTAAAGTCTTTGGTATGATCGGGAATCGAACCCTGATCTACCAGCTCAGGGCAGACACTACCGCTAGGCCACTGAGCTATCCAATCATGTGATTGGATCAGAACATCCCTATCCGACCCTGGTCCTACAGAAGACGCTCTTACCAAGCATGTTGGATGACTCTATCAGCGTCGTGTCCAGGTCGGTCCAGTAGAGCCTCCGCTCCGCGTAGTCGATGGTGAGGCCGTTGGCTCGACCCACGTCGGCCACCAATGTGATGCGGCCGGTACCGTCCATCGCAGCCCGGTCTATCTTGGGCTTCCCGCCCCACTCAGTCCAGTACATGTACCTGTGGAGAACCGGGTCAGAACAGCCTTGGGAAGAGGAACTGGGTCTGCTGGTGACAACAGTCCAAATCTAAAGGGTTCCTGTGGAAAGACCCACTTCCACCTCAGCCCAACCAACCGTTCACCCTTGTAAACAGGATGTGTGTACAAGGTATGTGCAGGTTTAAGGGAGCCAAATTTAAGACTTTTTAAGACCTTTTTTAAGGCTACTTTGACCAAATTTAAGCTATTTTTTTTAATTAAATTTAAGCTATAATTTCCAGCTATTGCCTGGAAACGGTGCTAACCACGTCGTGAACGTGGGATTAGCCATCCAGTTACCATTAAACTTCCCCACGGCGCAAGCTCCCACTAGCTTAACCAGCTAATGTGCTCATCTAAAAATAGCCCCCTTTCACAACCAACCGAACGTGTACGGTTCCGCTTACGCCAACATCATACACAAAAAACGCTGAACTAACTAGAAATTCACAAAGATTTTATAGAAATAAAAGAATCTTGTTTATTGGGTCTTTGGACATTTAAGACCTTTGGAAACTTGTATTTAAGGATTATTTGTCATTTTTAAGGATTTTTAAGGCCTTAAAGTTGGAAAAGCAAATTTAAGACTTTTTAAGACTTTGCAAGGACCCGCGGATACCCTGGTGTAGATGATAACAGGTATGACGATCCGCTCTGCCTTTCTGCACGAGGCGGAGTCTGTGTACAGGAAGTGGTGGTTGGGAGTGACTGTGTGCTCATTTTGGAGAGAATCAAACACAGGCTGCAGGATTTCCTATCTAGTAGAATGAAACGAGGTGAGGGTTAGGGCTGCTGCGGAGGGCCAAGTGGACAGGGAGGTCTTGCCTCTGATTTATGTTGGGGGGGGGGGGGTGGAACGACAAAAAATGACTTTTCCTCATCCAGCAGAGAGGCCCCAGACATTCGGTTGTCACTGATCAAGAGGGCGTTCGTGCGAGGCAAAGATTCAGTTAAGAGCCCAGGAATAAAAGACGCTCCCGGTGGTTCTACACAGCCTTCCTAGGAGGGAGTTGGTCATTGGTCAGATCGTTCTCACAGAATGCTCGGTAGACTGCTTTAGATCAGAATTATACTCAAACTGCTTTATCTTATGAGTTTTACTGCTTAATGCTGTTAAAATAACCCTAAAACATTATTATTACTTAACTGCTTTCTGGATTGCATCACCGCTTTAAGCTACTGGTGTGGTAAACAAAGGGTTGCCCTAAAACGCACCCACACTCAGTGTTTATTACATTATTTAACTCGTTAGAAAGTCACAGCAGCAGAGTCTCACATGGGTTAGGGTAACTACAAGCTTTCCCTTTCAGGACCCGGGCCTCCTTCGTTAGTTAGGGTTCAAGTCCCACGCTGGTGTGTGTGTGTGTGAGACATCTGACCCACCCCCTGGGGGAACGGTGAGCTGCAGATCATTGGGCGGTTTAACCCCCCAATCAGGTGAGGAGGCATCGGGTCCCATTTGACCAGAGTCTTGGGTTTGACCCGGATTTGAACAAACTATTGAACAAAGTCAGCCTTGAGGGGCTGCGGTGCTGTCTGGTCATTAAATGACCTTGATAGAGACCTGCGACCTCTAAAATAGAAACCAGGAACTCGTAACTTCAGCTTACGATGAGCCGAGCTTCTTGACAAGATTTTATAGCAGGTGCAGGACCAGCTACAGCTTCCCAGTTCTCACCCCTCTGCAGGATCCAGGGCCAGAGCTCGTGGACTGTCCAGATCCTTCCAGACCAGAACTTGCCGGTGCTGCCCATCCAGTTTGGCCACTTCAATGCGGTTGGTGCCGGTGTCTGCCCAGTACAGGTTCTTCCCCAACCAGTCTACCGCCATTCCCTCTGGATAGTCGAGGCCAAACTGGACCACGTGCTCCAGAGCACTGCCATTCATGAAGGCCCGGCTGATGGTCTGCAGAGTCACGTTTAAACAGATCAGAGTTCTGGTTCTGGTGTTGCCTACTTCTACAGCTGTGTACGGAAACCCACCTTCAGGGTGATGTCGGTCCAGTAGATCCGGTTGTCGGTGACGTCAAAGTCTAGCGCCGAAGCCTCCATGACACCAGTGAGCGGGATGGGAACGTTGTTGTTGTTCGTCTCCAGGGAGATGCGACGGATGTCGGTGTGGCGGGAGAAGAGCAGGAAGGCCTCAGGGATGATGCAGGTCTGCATGTCGGCGATGAGCTCCAGGCCGATGGGGCAGCCGCACTGCACCCCGTGGGGCGTGTAGAGGCACAGGTGACTACAACCGCCATTGTTGTCAGCACATGGGTTGGTACCTGGTCAGAGAAAATGGGTTCAGTGGACCAGAACCGGTCCTCAGTACCCCAGTCTGCTCTGTGGACTGCTTACAAGAACCCCAACCCTGCCAACCACGTCATGAACCAGAATAACAGCAGAGGTCTGAGAAGCAGCCCGTTTTTATCCAGATGAAGTGACCTATTTTATCCTGTTCTTGTACCGACACCTCTCTCACCGATCCCCTGCTTTACTCGCTGTAGGGCTCAGCTATGCTTTGTTATGCGTGTACAGCCCTGTGGTTCGCCTCCGGCAGCTGGAAGGTGGTTAAAAAAGATGAGGAGGTCTGGACTTAAAATCGCTACTTTAGTCCAAATCATTAAAATCAGCAAACTTTTTCTGATATTTGCTCTAGGAAACATAGGCCCCGCCCCCTTAGTACACCAACACAACGCCATCGTTCGTGACTCACCGACGGCCTCGTGCACATTTACAGCCTTGAGGCCCATGAGGTCTGGCAGCTCGTCGATGATGAACTCCCTCTCGGCGGTGTGTTTGTGGACGCGCTCGATGATGCGCCGCTGCCAGTCCGTCCAGTAGATGTAGTCTCCCAGCAGCGTGAAGCCAAAGATGTGAGGAATTTTGTCCTCCACCAGCACCCGTCGGCCCGTTCCGTTCATGTTCATCACCTGCACACAGACAGCTCAGCATCTTCATGGTGCTCCACTCATTTAGATAATGGGTTAGAGAAACGCACCACCTGCTGGGGTGTACTGGGAATGGCTTCAAACGTTTGTTATCAGATAAAAAATGTCTGAATATTTTTACATTTGACTAAAAACAGCTCATTACTGATTCACATCCCTTCAGGTTATTTATATAGCCCCTGAACCTGCGTATCAGTGCACTAAGTTCAGTTAGTTATGCCAGCTAGTTTAAAGTTTCCTATATAAGGAACCCAGCAGGTCGCATCGAGTCACTGACTAGTGTCAGAGTCTTTACTCATACTAAGCAAGCATGCAGCGACAGTGGAGAGGAAAACTCCCTTTTAACAGGAAGAAACCTCCAGAAGATCCTGGCACGCGCACACACACACACGTGCACATACACACACACAGCTACTCTACATATTGTGTTTAATGAGCTACAACTGCAAATATAATCCCTCATGAAGGTATTGCTTTAAACCAGAAGATACTGGAGATGTGTAATTTCAATCTGAGCAACACTTAAGTGTGATTCTATCTAAACTTTCCGTTTGTAGAGGTTGAAAACTGCCCTCGCCGGAGGCTCCGACTGAGAGACAAGCGGAGCACACAGAGGGCACATTTTATTATACATGAGAGAGGAGACATTAGGGCTGTGTCATCTGACAATTTAAGATTGTTATGGATTATAAAGTGATAACGATCGATCAAAGCTCGGAGATGGTAGAGCCGTCTATTTGCGTTCTTTCGCCTGTGACATTATTCCTGGAATTAGTTTGACGTTGGACGTTCGACAGACTCCACGGTCAGAAATGGGTCTTCATGCCATGTGCAAGTGCTGCAGATTCAAATTCAAAAGTACTTTATTAATCCCAGAGGGAACTTAAGAGTTTCAGTACACACAATTCTGAGATCAGACATACACGGGCAAGACACAAGACAAGAATTGGTGACTGTGGTCATTCGCAACCAGTGTCGTGCTACCATAATAGAGATCAGAGGGTTTATATGAGGATAGAGTCAGGGGGAGGGGAAAAAAGGCACTTCAGAGGTACCCTCACCAGGGAGGGCAGCTTTGCTCTGCAAAAAAACACCTCAGACAGAAATGCACACAGACTTCAGACATTACACAACATAAGTGTCCACTAGGTGGGGAGGTAGGGTTGGGACTCTTCTCACTTCAGAGCATGCAGCCACATGGGGCAGCGCTCATCACCTCCGTTTGGACAGGGGAGGGAGATTATGGGTTAGAGAGCACAGTGACTCCTAGATACGGTTCCACGGCCTTCACCGGTCACAGTCCCGCCCAGGCTGGGATAGGGAGAGAGGGTTTCCATAGCGACGGCAGCATTCCACATTTCTTCTGAGGGGGAGTAATCACTTCAGCCTCACAGGCTCAAGGGCACCAGATCCAGATAAAAACTTGTTTTGGGGACAGACAGAGATAATTTCCTCTCTGCCTTAAAGTTCTGTTGGTCTCCAACCCCTCTAAATCCAATAATGGTGTTATCAAACTATTCCAATCCGTGCTGATCCGTCCACTCACTCCTTGATGGTATCCACCTTCTGTGCCAGAGCCTGAATCTCAGCCAAAGTTCCAAGCTTACGACTCATCTCGACAATGTTATGAGTTTGTGCGTTCACAGCGCGGTGTAATCCATCCCTGAGCTCCGGGAGAGAGCCAATATTCCTCGACAGCTCGTTAATTTTCCGGTAAGCCAGGTAACCTCCCAGGCCAAACAGCAGGAAACCTGACACCAACACCACGAATATCCAGAAGTCTTCAGAATCCTCCACAGACAGCTGAGAGAGGCATATCAGGTTCCACTGTTTCCAGGAGTCCATGATATGCCCAGCTGGCTCTGTCCCAGAGGGGCATCCGGGAGCCCCTTCTCCCGTTCTCATCGCTGAAAATTTTTTGTCAATCACGTTGAGAGACCAGCTGACCAGATCCATTTTTAATCATTTCCAGTTTCCAGAAGAAATGCAGAAAGCGTCATGCACCCAAAGACAGGACAGAGAGCCTTGGGATGAGGAGGGAGGGAGAGGAGAAAATAGCGTCTGCACTCTCCAAGAGCCAGAAGAAAAAAGATGGAGGTTAGCTGTGCTCCGAGGACTTGCTCCTAAGTGGTGGTTCGCTTAGGGACCCTAGTCCACTAATAAATGTATATAAGAACTGTCAACAGCGTGAACAATGTTATTAATATAGATTCTGAATAAGGCTGGGCCCAGTATGGACCCTTGAGGAACGCCCATAGACGGGTAGAGGAGCAGATTGGTAACCCTCTGTTCTCACTAAGATGTAACTTCTGAACCACGCCACGGACGCCTGAGGAGGTCCTGTATGTCTGAGTCTACTGAATAAGATGTTATGGTCTACAGAGTCAAAGGCTTTAGCCAAGTCAACAAACACAGCTACACAATACTCCTTATCGTCTACGGCACGCATGATGTCATTTAGCACTTTAAGTGTAGCAGAGAC